ACTTTCCTTTCCTAGGAAGTCTGTCAATTAGATTTAGAAATCCAGAGTGTATTGTTTATCATTGCATTGAGGTGCCTGACATCAGCTGAGCTCCTTCTGTCTCCTAGTTCTCTTCATTGTCATTCATTTTTTCACCACATTTTGGAGCGAAATACCCGTTGAGGATTATTTCAGCTCCTCTGGAAACTCACTTACGGTCTCAGCAGAGTCTGCAACCTTAAGATGGATCAGCATATGATCTGCAGGGTCAGATGAAGCAGCGTGTTCATTTGAACTGCAGAGACATCTGAACAGAGGCCAGAGACACTGTGTGCTGCTCCCGTTTCCGTTCCCAGTGTGCTGCAGGACGTTAGACAAGGTACTGGGGAGCCTTGTCTGTGGGGATGTTCCTCTGAGTCTCTGGTTAATCCTTGTGAATTTATGCTTATAAAAAGAGTGAAGAAGGAAGTAGAGGGTTTGGAACCCTTAAATATGGGTCACTACAAGCAGGTAAGGTACTGTGGTAGAATGGCTGATAGAAGTGGAGAGATGGAGCTTGAAAACAGAGCTTGATAAGATCATTATCTGCTTTATACAAGGAGTCTGCATTAACGGAAACTGATAATTTCCTGTCCTAAACAGGACTGGCCATAGTTGGAATTCCAGCTTTTTGTGTTAATGGGGAAGAATGTGCCTCAGGACTTGAGACTGGTAAGGCCAGTACAGAGACTTCGTAGCAGCAACACTCAGGGTTGGGCAACATCTTGGCTTACCTGTGGGCACCTGGGGCCACCACAGGCAGAAACATTTGGGCCTACCACTAAGAGGGTTAAGATATCAGTTCGGGCAGCTGCTAGGATAAGGATCTTGTTGCTGGAGTCTCTATCTCCTTGGATGCATGCTTGACTAGATGAGTGGTCATCAGAAGGCCGCTGACTATGCAGCCTGCTTCCATCCAGGTCTTCTGAGGTTTCTTCAATATTTTCTTTTAATGGGGTGTGCGTCACAACTCCTTGTGCTATCACTGCAATATCCCCTGTATGATTTGTGGAGGAAAAATGATGTAATTCTATTTCTGGGAATAAGTGCTGACTTTAGCAATGGGTTCATATAGGCCAGAAGAAAGGGAGATGGGAAGAATCAGCAAAGAAGCCACTGACTGGCAAGGTCATCAACAAAGCATTTCTGTAGAAGAAATGCAAGACATATATGGCTAAATATTTGTTCTCAGTGTACTCTGTGCCCTGAAGAACATGTGTTTTTCTAAATCTTTTTTTCCAGAGACTAATAACTAGACCATCTGTTTGCCTCTCTAAATCAGAGCAAAGCCCATGAAAACTCACCTTGAAAACCAATAAGAAATTATCAGCTCTTTGTTTTAGCATTTAATAACTGTAATTAACAAACCTAATGACATGTTTGATTATTGCATCTCATGTCTGTGAGTCCAGGGGGAAGCAGGAGATGGGACATATTGATTAAAGCAATTGAAACTCTTTACTTCCTTCTACTTCTTATTTTCTCTTAAAACAATGTACTGAGTAGCTCTTTGAAGACTGTTCATATACAATTGATGTTGAGATCATGGCTGACTTGGGGCAAGATTAGCCTCCTCGAGTGGATTACTGACAAGCACAGACAGTTTCAAGCACTATGAAGTTCTAACATAGTGGGCCAAGTCAGAAAACCTCATTTCTACTGGTTCTTCAAGTGAACTTGCTGTGGGATCTGGACTGAATTTCTTCCCCTCTCTCTGTACTTCACTATTCCCCTCAGTAAAAAGATAATAATAAAGAAAAGGAACACTATAAGCTCCCTATACAGCTGATGCCAAAAGATTTTCTTTTTTTTTTAGTGTCTGTTGCTACCTGTCCAGAGACTCTGTTAGGGCAGATAGGTGTCCTGTTTGGTGTCTGAAGTTTGATGGTGGTAAGATCATATTTAGACTGCCTAGAAAAGCTGACATTTTTGGTTATAAAGTGCAACAAGAAAGGTACATATTATCAGTATTTAGAGGAGTAAACCACAGTTACTGAAATCTGTAAGCCTTATGGTGAATTAAACATACCATGGTTTGTTCTGGAAGAAATCTGATGTTTCTTCATACAGGCTCTTGATAAAATCATAAATTATGCAGGCATTCATAAAAAATACAGATTTCTCAATAATTGGGATTGGCTTGAGTTGAACTGAATAATTTGGAAGCAACTGAAGGATTCTAATATGTATGATGCACTTGTAATAATAATTTCACCCTATTGCTCAAAGCATAGAGCACTACTTTTATCACAAATGAGAAACATTTGTTTCTAAACCTCATATATCTTGAGATTTGCCCCATGTCTCGTTGTTTTTCTGTACTGTAAGACTAGAATGAATCAACCCAGGCGCTTATTTATCCTTCCATCATCCAGAAACCTCCAACTGGGTCATCATGTAACCTTCCTCCTCCAGTGAGAATTAACCCATTTTCCCCAGTCTGTCCTGTTAACTTCTGACCCTGTGCCTGAGCCTTATTTATCCTGCTCCCCTGAGGACAGTTTAGATGAACTGTCGAGGGACAATTTTTATCCTGAAGCAAAGACACGACGGGAATGTTCTGGATCCTGTTTCCTTTTCTGTAGGTGAAATCCTTGTGTTACCATTAGTAAAATGGTCAAGAGTTTTCTCACTTTTTCAGCTTGCCAGAACTTAGATAATTTTAAAAAATTATTTATTTATTCTGCAGAGCTCACTTTGGTGGAACTGTAGGTGTCAAAGGGGTCCCAGAAACATGATTTTTGGTTTACTAGGTAAAGGTGAATTGGCAGCATCAAAGTGATTAGGGCTGATTGGGAAGCTCATGGCCCTTTACAAGTGTTTCATATCCTGGGGGAGGATTATAACTGTGGGCTTGGATGTCTCCTGATCTCATCTCTTAGTGCTTTTTCAAGTTGTACAAATATTTAAATAATTGGGAATGAAGAAACAGAGGAAACCTGACTGTGTAGAGAGTAGCATGATCTTCTGGGATGCAGTTCAAGTTAAGGTCTCTGCTTCAGTGAGTATCTGGAAGCTTTTGAAAGCCTTAGTTACATCTTGATATGATGGGAAATTTTTCAAAACCTTGAAAATCTTCCTGTGTTGAAAAAATATTTTCCTCCAGCTTTAGTTACTGTACTGGTTTGCCATTCTATAGGCTGGCTTGCTTTTCTGTTGGACACATCGTGCGTGATATAATGGCTTTGGCATTGATGTGGTGTGTGAAATAAACTCAACAAAGGGAGAATGTACTTAAAATGGGAAGCTTTTTTCATAAAAAGGTCTGAAAATTTAAATGAGCTTATTTCCTTGTAAATTGAATCCTTTTTACATTACACCCCCATTTTCATGCTGTGTGGCAGAGACATGGATCAGCCAAGGTGACACTGGATTCCAATGGACCTTCGTCACCTTCACGGTGTGAAGCCAAAGGCAAACAACAGAAACAGAGATTTGGGGCGAGACAGTTAGGCAGGACAGGTTTTTTTCTCCCTGTGTACCCCTGTCTGCATGAGGGATCAAAATAAGGATGACATCTCTTGCTTTCCTCTCCATTTTTGTCTCTGGACAAATCAGATGTGACCTGGTTCTAATGGAGAGTTGCACAATGTAGCCATTCAGGTATGTTGCATCCATTGGAAACCATGGGAATGTGGACTGATTAAATGTAACATGGAGTACCAGTGGCATCTCTATTAGTAGAAGTTTAGATGAAGTTTGTGTAACAGATTTTGTCTGGTACAGGCAGCAGCACTGTAGAAGACTCCTTAAACAGGTCTTAGCAATTAAAAAAAAAAATCTGTATTTTAAGAAAATGTATAAATAGTAACAAGAATGTTCCAGTAGCACAGACTTCAGGTGGCCTGAGTTCTGCATGGGGCAGTGCAACATGGATCAGTGCTGGAGATGTGCATGTCCTTGTGTAGCCTTTTCTTCTTGTTGGCCAAGTAAATTAGCTCAGAGAAGCATGTGATTTTCCTTTCTCAGGAGTGATATTTCTGGTAAAGGGATTACACTTTTAGTGCAAATTCATCTGCATTTTTACAGCTTGTTTGTGAGGTCCTTGCAGTTCCATGGTAGCTTTTTGAGCTGTAGTTTTGCTATGGCTTTTTCCTAGATAACAGTGCAAACATGTATCTAAAAACACACAATTCCTGGAAAAATTCCTGAGATAAAACGTGAAGAAAGAGCTAAACATTGAATAAAGCATTAGACTTCAGTTTCAAGCTTCTTAAACTTTAGTCACAGGAGAGAATAAAATAAGGTGCAGTAGAATAGATTGTATTCATGCCTGTACTTGTGACTGTATAGTTCAGAGTAGAGTCATTCCTTTATGGCTAAGCCTTTAGACAATTGCTGTAAAAGACTGAGTGCCAAACACTGGCAGTTTAAAGGGAGTGGATTTTAAGACAGGAAAGCTACAGAAAAAAAAACAAACCCAACAAACTAAAAGATTATTCTGATTACCAACAACCTTCTAAATAGAAAGCATAAGAGGCATGAACTTGTACTCAAAATTTCAATTTTAATGAATTATCTGATAGATTAGAATGTTGTACTGCATAAACTTTACTGGGATACATCCCTTCAACCTGGCAGGACGTTGTAAACTATCTTGCAATGAACTGTGCAACACACTGAGCAACAGTGAAAAATGCTTTCACTTTCCTGATGTTGACCAGTCTAAAACTATCCCCACAGTAGGATTTCATTAGCTTTGCCTGCTTGGATTGGCAGATATATTAGATTTGATGGGATTAGGTGAAAGAAGAAATGCTAGTAGCAATTTTCCTAGTGTGGGCTTTTTTTTTAATATGTATCTTCCCCTTTGGAGCTCCAGCAAATGCAAGCCTGTCTTCCTCAATTAGGCAAGCCTAAAAGCTACAAAGAGTGCATGGACTCTTGAATGTGCTGTAATTTATGTTTATCAATTCAGTGCACATAGTTTTTTTGACATGTGCTTCCTGCCTGATTTTCTAACAATCCTTTATTTTCCACAGGTGGCCGTGATAAACGAGGTGGTCCTGTCTTGACCTTCCCAGCCCGCAGCAATCATGACAGAATAAGGCAGGAAGACCTTCGGAAACTTGTGACTTATTTGGCCAGCGTGCCAAGGTAAAGCTAGAAAGAAAACACTTCAAAGCTTAGGGTGGATGGGTGGGTGGGGAACTTGTTCTTGGCAGTTGCTGCTTTCCAAGTATGAACATTTAGTACCTTGAGTTCTTGGGGTGGAGGGACAAAAGTGTTCCCTTCCTTCTCCTGTGTACACCCCGGTGGTTTTTATCACACACGTGGCAATGCAGGAGCTCCACAGCGGAGGCAGTGTGAGCAAACCCAGGCTCCTGGCTTGTCACAGCAGCGAGGAGCATCTCTCATTCCCTGTGTTTTAGAGGATTGCAAAGGAGGAGAGTGCTCAGAGGCCTGCAGTTAAATATAGCAAGCTGGAGAGAGCCTACTGTCTTGTTGTTGCTTTCTAACACCTTGTGGGAGGTTCAGGAGAGCTGGGGAAGGGGACTGTAGTTGCTTGGGAGGAGAATGTGCCTGTACAAGGAGGCAGATTTTCCTGCTCCCGCACTTCCCAGAGATTTCTCCAGACTGGGGAGGGAACATAGGTGGACTTAAGGGGAAGCTTTCAAAGAAAGCCATTTCAAATTGTTCTGAATGTAAACCAGCATCTTTCTCCACATTAGTCCCTGTGGCTCTCCTCCAACAAGTAGGTCCCCATCCTTTTTTACAGGGATGCTGGTGGAAAGGTATGTTGCCAGAGCATGTTTATCTTTGCAGGCTTTGGGAGACCATTTATAGGGCTCAGTGCACAGGCAAGTATTTCTGATCCAGCCTCAGGGGGTATGAGGCTATGAATGCCCTCATCCAGCTTCCTTTTCCTGATTTTAAGCTTGCCAAATATCCTTGCCCAGTAACTACTGCACTGGCTATTGAGATGAATGTTATCCCCAGGCAGGTAAGGGGCTGAGAAGGGACACTCAGGGTTGCAATAACACACCCTGTACCACCCAGGAGCAAATTCTCTTTTAAAGCCACTGTTAAGCAGTGCTCGTGTTTTTGCAAAGAGTGTGAAGTTAGGACATGAAAGGCAAAGGAATTGGCTGCATCTGGAAGTCAAGAGGTAAGGGTCTCAGGTCACACATGCAATCTGCAGAGAACAAAGGTCGTGTTTGGTATGGAAGAGGGGTAAGGGTTCTCTGGAGACTCATCACTCGACTGCAGAGAGTGAGTGGCAAAAGCAGCTGTGTGTGCCAGATATGACAGTGCTTGTTCCCTGGATGTCATAAGTCCTCTGGTGATTAACTTTTTGCTACGTTGAACTTTCGGTCATCAAGGTTTTGTTAGTAGTTGAATCTCTGAATCTGTTTGCTTTTCTCCCCACCACTCCCCTTTTGTCCTCTAGCCAGCTCTATTTTCAACCATATTGTGAGCGAGATTACGGACATGCTGTGGGGCTGGGAGAGCAGTAGGTCACTCCCTAGGAGTGCATGTCCCAGGGCTTGACAATCCCCCTCCAGCTGCTGCAGTAATGAAAGTGCTCCCTTACATCTTATCATTTCTTTGCATAGTTGCAAGTATGAAGATATGACATTACTTGAGGTTGCAAGCAATTGCAGAGCAAAAATGACCTTCTAACGTGTCAACCTTTTTTATTAATTGCTTTTCCCTCATGGAGGTGGCAGCAATAGCAAGACACATCCCTTCTGCTCCCCACTCACACAACTAAATTGATTAGCTCAGTCTTTGATGCTGCTTTTGGTTGCCTTGCTCTGGATCAGTGCAGCAGTGATTTTTCTCTGCTGATGCAGACACTGGGGTCAGAGGTGCATGCTGAAGGAGCCAATACAAGACCTAGCTGCCTGTCTTTCTAGAAACACTAAAAAAGCTTTACCCCCACTGGTCCCCACTGCAAAGCCTTATCCTGCCCTGATGTGTGAAGCCTTTGGAGGATCAGAGAACATTTCTTCCTCTGTGATACAACCACCCATTCAGAAAATGTACCAGCAGTGAGGGACACGTGAAACACTTCTACAAGCTTCCAAAGGATCCTTGCAGATTGGACCTCTGGAGACATTAGCTAGAGTACTGTCTCCTTCTTGGGATATTGCACATTGAGGGGTGTGGAGCAGAAAGTAGCAAGAGTGATCAGTGGGTCTTGGAAGAGTAGCCTGTCAGGGAAGGATTGAAAGGGTAGAGTTTGTTCAGCCTAGAGAGTGAGTAGGGTCTGTGGAAGCACATTGTGACACTGCAGAAGGAAGGGATTCACAGGGCTAAGACAAACAAAAGTGTTACACTGAAGTAAGTGAAGCTTAGGCTTGTTATAAGGAAGAGATTTCTAGTAGATTCATAAGTTATCTAACTTCTTCTTTAATCCTTCCATTACTCTATAGACAAACCTTTGGCATGGATATAAATGTTACGAAGAGGGTATGATAGATCATGAGGTGATGTCTCTTGGTTCCTTCTAGTCCTGTTTTGTCTGGTGAACTTTGTGAACTTGCTGCTCTAGGAGGGAAATGTGACCACAAACTTCATGAGTCTGGCACGTGGGATTATGTAACCTGTGTGGTGTAAGGAAACCCTGAAAACTCATTTTCCCTAGACATTTTGTTCACTTCAACAAGGGCAATCAGCAGAGCTTTCAAACTTATTTACTTTTTGGAAACAAATATATGGACAGAACAGTTGCAATTCCTATGGCTGGCTCTCAGTTCATGTTTGTTCCAAGATGAATGCTATACTGACTAACTGCATCAGCCATCTACCAAAATGAATAATTTCATTAGCGGACCCTCTGAACAGGATGTCAGGAGAAACTGCTCTGATGTTGAGTGCTAAAAGCAGAAGAGTTTTCTGTGCTAGCTGAAAAACTGGAAATTCTTTTTTAGTAAAAAGAGACTGTAATTCATCATATTGACACCAGGATAATAATTCTTTCTTTATTCCTGGTGCATTGGTTCCTGAGTGAGACAGATTGCTATCCAGGTTGATACAATCTGTCACTTAACCCTTGGTTTATATCTTAATGGAGGGGGCAGAGGTGGCACAGCACTGGGAGCTTTGAGCAGGTATGAGATTGGTGATGAAATGTGATGATAGATTAGGGTAAGTGAAACCAGGGTCTTGCGAGCACTTTTGAAAGTTTCTGATTCAGCTTTCTGCAGTTCCTTTTTCAAAAACCAGAATAATAATGTGGGTTTTCTGAAAGCGGCTGTGTGTGCTTGAGTTAGAGCAGAATAGTGAGGGCTTTCATGCAGCTGGGAGTCATGGTCAGGCAGGTGCCTGCAGGCAGCGGGGTTCCCTGTGTGGTTGAGGATTACTGCGTGGGGGTGAAGACCTAGGAACACAGTTTTTTCCTTTCCCAAAATGGTAACCTTTCAGTCCATACTGCCTGGGGTGACTTAGGGCTCCTGGAAGGTTCAAAAGCCTGCTCCTGCAGTCTTGGATGCCAGGAGAAGGTGGTGAGTGGGTATGTGACGGTGTGAACTAATGCAGTCCTGGTTCGGTGCCCTACGTTGGCTCTTTCAGGCAAATCACGAGGTCCTTTTCTCCAAACAGTTCCACTGTAATTAGTTACTAAGGAACTAAGACTCTATTCATTAGATGTAAAGGTAATTGCCACAGATGCCAAGTTTCTACCACTCTGCCATTTTCTGCTTGGTTTACATTTGCACTGATGCTTTCTGGGTAGGCAAAGCTCTATTTCTTGTGAATCAGGATAGCTCCTATTTATATGCAAATTTAAATGGATGCGATATTTAGAAATTTGGAGGGCGTGACTGAATGTAGGATAACATGGTGTTTATGATCAGGGAGATGAGGGGAAATCTTCTGGCCTTGCTGATCTTATATTTTAACACCAGTGCTGTGCCATCTATTCCAGTAAACTGAGCTTTGATTTATATGTGTGGAAATGAAACTAGCACCAGGCCAATCTCCTCTGCGAGCCCTTTGGAATTAAGAATTAAGTTATGCGTAGGCTATAGGAGGATAAAAAGCAGACAGAATATTATTAGCCTGAGTTATCTCCTCGCACGGAGAAGCAATACGATGAAGGAAATGTTCTCTGTCAGCTACAGTGAATCTTCCGGCTGAACACATCCATCTGTTCGGGAGCCAAGATAAGCAATCTTCTGTGCTCTCTGCAGAGGGGGAAACCCGAGATGCCTTGGAGGCCTGTGTTTTTAAAGACATCTACTTTTTATTTGTCCTCTGTTCAAAAACCTGCTCAAATATTTCCCTGTTCTGGGGGGACATCCAGGGCTCATAACAGCAGCAAAGTGTTTCCAAGAGCCAGCCCTGTGTGTTTGAACAGTTCCTCAGAGCTGCCCGAGTTTGATGGAAGGTGCTAGGATCAGTAAAACAACTGAAGTGCCTCTAATAATTAGTTCAGTGACTGGGGCTTTGTAAAATTAGAAGAACAATACAGGGGATGGTAAAATGTAGCAATACTCACCCACTCTTGGATTTATTTTAAGCTCTTCTCTGGTGACCTGTGGTACTGTATATATTAGCTCCTCTGGCCAGGAGTAGTGTGAAACTCATTTTGTTGATTGATAGGAATTAAACCCTAGAGCTCTGCTTTCTGTTATGTGATCCTAGCACAAAAGGAGCTTTTGAGGACTTTTTTTTTTTTCCGGAGGCTATTTTAGATCTACAAAAATAACCATCTATTTAAAAAATAACACCAGGGAATTCGTACTAATTTTAGTAACTAAATATCTGGTGCCATCGATAATTATTCCACTGTGCACTTGTATCAAAATACCACAGTAAAAAAATGAAGTGAAACTGATGAGCCTAATGGAGGTTTAGTATTTTCTTCAGATAAAATTTGATTTAACAGATAATTGTAAGGTATTTTGGAGCAAGAGACTCATTAGGAATATATAACTGACATGAGTGCTGGGGATTTTAAGAGCCTTCTACCCCCAACAGCTAGTTAAAATCCAGCCTCTCCTGTGTGTGGTACTGGTAAGTGATGTTATTATCACCATCCGTTAGGGATTGGGGACTTCTGTTAAAACAATGGTGGTCTTGGCTTGTCCTATTGAAGGGCTTCTGGCCACACTGCTCTGTTTTGCTTCCTGTGTCACCTTACTGAGCAC